TGTATCGAAGCACTTCTAATTTAAGGTTTATGCTACTTGAATAGTAGTTTGTGTTTCAAGCACTTTCAAGATTTTAGTCCATCCCAAAATACTACTGAGCATCTTAGCACTTAAGGTAAAGATTTATTTCATCTAAGTAGTACTTTTAAACAGATACATTATGGCTTCAAAGGTTTAGTCCAACCTAAATACTACTTTTAGAGTCCAGGTACATAGGAGTTTAAAGGTTTATTCTGCTCAGAATATGACGAGGTGTCCAACTACTTTAAAGTGTTTATTCCACCTAAATGGTACTTGCTAACTAACAAGGAATGGTTTTAAAGGTTTATTCCAACCTAAGCGCTACTTAGTGTCCAGTTACTTATGGTTTTAAAGGCTTTTTCCACTAAACTAGTCATTTCTGTCAAATGACTTATGGTTTCCAGGGTTTATTTTGGTACATGAAGACTACCATAGTTTGGTACGTACACTTTGGCAAGCTACCTAATAACTGTGTTGTTCACCTGAAAACATCAACTGTTTTAATGTTGAATGTTTCCTCATTTAGCGTGTTGATGGTGGTGGTGGTGTTGGGGAACACAACACTGACTAATTAGTTAAGAGAAATAATTTATTCCCCATTAGAGATAAAGTCCAAGATTTACCAAGAAAAGCAAAGCCAGACATATGGTGGCTAATGTCCACTCTTACTTTTACTCTTCAGACTAAATCTTAGTCTAACTTAGCAAGTAAACAATGACTAAATAACTCATGGAACCTTGTATACCTCACTCATCACATAGTTTATGTGAGACAAGACAACCTGTTTTATTTCAGTGTAGGCCGGTTTAGTAAGCACTTGGCATGTTATAAACGCATTACGTACAAACTGAAAACCCGCCGGTGTTACTGGCAATGACTTCTGCTTCCAATACAAGTAAACTCTGGTAACGCTTAAGGGATTATCGGAAGCAACTGTTCACTGAATTAATTTAACTTGGTCACAGATCCTTAATATCTCATACTACCATGATGGAAATGGACTTTTAAGTGAATGTCTTTCTGGTTTCCCACTGTGGGGTTTAAAAGTGGAGCTGAGCTTTGTTACCAAGCAGATAAGCTGACTCATTCAACATTAGAAGTATTTGACTTTTTAAACCCGCAGTGTGAGCTGGCTGTATTTTTTCATTGCTCTTTGCTTTTGTCAGGACCATGAGAGTTTGGCAGTCAGTCAGGAATCAGTGGCCATGGAAATGCAGCTGGTGGAGTCAGATCCCACACGAAGCAAAGACGTCGCTCTCTCTCACATTGTCTTGCAGAACGCTTTCCCACAAGAGTAAAAATGTCTATGAGGCACTGGACCAACAAAGTAGAACAGTGGCCAGCATACTATCATTACAGGTGCAAACTGACGAAAACAACAACGTGACGTGTCCATACAGGGAAGAAGGTGTTACTGACTAGTTGAACTTAACCCAGTTGGACACCTGTGGGAGATTTTGAACGGACGTGTTAAACAGTGCTTCCCCACCACCATCAACATGCTAAATGAGGAAACATGTTTTTCACTCCACTTGTGTCGTTGCTGATTGAAGTCTTTACATTTTTCTGCACTTTCTACCAAACTGCATTGTATATTTTGTCTGTAGCATATGTATATTTTACATATACTATAAACTGCTGGGCCTTACTTTATACATATTTCTTTTTGATAGTTTTATGATTTGCATATATATTGTATTTATGTGCATAGTAGCAGTACACTATATTTAACAGAACGTCTATGAAAATATGCAAGGCACTGCATCTTGAAATGCATTCACTGATACACGTGGGTTTATTTTTGTGTATGTATTTGTGGGTGCGTGTGTGACACATGGTTGAAACTTTAAATATAGCTTCGGAGTCCATTAGCCAGAAGATACTGTGTTAGGTGTGGCTGAGCTCTCTACTGAACCCCACACTCATGATCCTTTTCACTGCTTAAATTCAGAACTGGTTTATAAGAACTGACTGAACCTGGTAAGAAATGCTGACAAATTGCATTAACACAGAGGGAGGTATTAGTATGTGTTTTTTTGGGGGGGGGGTGTTTTGGATTGATTTTGTTGCCATTGCTGTTGGTTTCTCCTGAGCGTGCCTCTCAATATTAATGATTAAAACGGTAAAGTTTTCCCATTTCAAGTCATGTTTAGCGGGACATGCCACCTATACATTAAGATCTGTTACTTATGTAGCATTCAGCCATTAACGAAACATAAGACACAGATGGGTCTAGCAATATGAGAATTATAAAAGTACAACTGTGCTTCTTGCCATTATGCGTTCTTGCATTACCATGATGTAAACTGGAATGCCAAATTTCTTTCTGAATACTCAATGTATGTGCAGTGGGGGTTCCAGATTTGGTATTTATTTTTATGTACACTATAGACCATAATATACAAACACACAACAATGTTTCCATAGTGAAATAGAATCTGCTGCTATTTATTACACTCACAAGTCACGATGGTAACATCCCCGTGGTGACTCGTGTCACGCTGACGTGAAAACCCGTCATACAAACTTACTTGTCACTTAATACATGGATATTGTTTTTATTCTATTAATTTTTTATTTTATTTTTTGGCATTTTATAGTCTATAATCATAACTCTGCTTGGTCTACTGTGTCATGAAAACTAACTGATATCAAGTACTGTGTAGGAGAAAACATCCAATCAATTTCCAATAACTTTTAGCAAATAATTTCAATCATTTCCAATTAAAATATGAACAAAAATGTCACAAAATAATTAGTAGTTTCAATCTTTTTTATGCTTATGCCCTTAGCTGTTTTGCATCTGTGTGTGCAACGTGACCAAAAGCTCTTGTGCAGAGTACAGTGAGGAGTCAACTCAAAAGTGGAAGTATTTACACAAGGCAGTGGCAACATCAATTCTCTGTAACAGCTAAAAAGGCTTCTCACTTCCATTTTCAGAGCTGTTCTGCCTTGTGTGAGGCAACTGTGGGGTTTACAACACCTGCAAAGCTGGGAAACGGTTAAATTAATAACCAGTATATGCAAGATTGTGATTACATTGGTGTAACCTGATATATATAATCACTTTTGAATACACCAGAAGTGATGAAAGAATGATCCACATGTCAGTCGTGTCTGTGTGCATGACAGTGATTCAGTTTAATGTCAGTCACAACACATGAACCTTCTTTAGTAGGTGTGATAAAAGTCTGACCTCAAGCCGCAGGTGTGTCTTTTTTCTGTCTATCTTGTGTCTATCAGAAGAATAAAATAGAATAGTATGCTTTTATTTTTTTCTATTCTATTCTATTCTATTCTTCTATCACCATCTTGACCTCCTTTATGCTCTGGATCTGGGGCTCAGAGCTACATTTACATCATCTCCAACTGATTTTTGAGGACAGTGGGTTAGTAGGCCCACCACACACAGTGTAAGATTTCACCTGATAAAATGACACAATGTGCAATCTGTTGCATTTCATTAAGTGACATTATTCTCTTTGTGTGTTTAAGTCTTCATCATCCCCACATCTTTTCTTAATTAATGTTGAGTTCAGTGGGTCTTCCTTTTCTAAAACAGCAATACACACAACTAATAAATGACCATTATGTTGTAGTTCCTGACCATACGTATGTCAGCAGATAAAGTGACAAACGACTGATTAATTCACTACAGTGATGCCATTGTGTGTTCCAGGAGTCTTTGTCAATGTCCCACTTTCCTCACAAGCACAAACAGGCCAGTTGTTCAGCTGCTCAGATTACTTCAACAGACACCAGTGTTAACACAGAGATTCTGCCTTTTCATGTGCAATTGTTGTGACCCATTTTTAAAGCCTTCAAAAAGTGTTCTATCTCTGAACTATAACTGCATGTGACCAGACAGCTGCCTTTTCATTATGGTAAAATAAGATTGTCTATTAAGGTAGTTAATTCAAGAAATACAACTAGTTCAGTTACAGGCCAACTTAAGAAAATGTGTGTCAGCTTGATCTGAAGAAAGCTGGCCTGTTGCAGTTACTGCTGTGTTACACAAAGAATCAAAAGTTCTGGACAAAAGGTAGTCCACGGTTTGGAAGTGCATTTCTTGTCTTCTTCATAGCTCCTTATCACAACCGCATGCATAGTCAGATTTTTTAAATCAATTTTTATAAAGCACACAAACACAGACTTATTTTCTGTCTTATATTTTAATTGCAGCATATAGAACATCTGAACATAGAATATTTTAAATAATATGTGTACGAAGATAATTAATACATTCTATGACAGTGATAGAGGAATGAGCTTTGAGTGTGTATGTGCCGTCTCAAGCCAGCAGTGATGAGTTGTGTTATGCGCAGGCTGAGATAGGGTGGCTGAGGCCACTGAAGTAAGACTTTTCTCGCTCGCTCATCACATCAAAATGCAGTGGCTGCTGGCAGAACGTGCACTCTGCTGATGAGTGGGGCTTCAACTCCAGACCAACTTCTTTCCAGGTTTGCACCAGCCTCTCTGAAGAGGGAAAACACACACAACTTTATTGAGAGAAAGTAATTAAAAATGCTATGAAACTGACATTAATCATTTTAAGAATACAGCAAATACGAAAAAAAAAAATCATGACATATAGCATTTTTGCTCAACAACTAGATTTAATTGTGGTTTCAAATCAAAATTATACATTAGATAATTACAAGAAACTAAAAATCCCTGATACATGTGGAAGGAAGAATCACGTCCAAAAGGATTTATTTTTCCTGGGTGAATTTTAACCAGAAAAATCAAAGAGGCTACTACATTAACTTACCAACAAAGTACTTCATCATCTCAGGGGTGTGGTGAGGAGTCGCAGCGATGCGCAGAAGCTCGTCTCCCCTGGCAACAGTGGGATAGTTGATGGCCTGCACGTAGATGTTGTGGCGACTCATCATAATATCACACACCTCTGTGTTTTTCTCAGCATTCGACACCTGAAAAGGGTCACACAAGATGTTTAGAATGGAGCCATTGCAGGGACAGACAAAGGGTGTCTTATGTATAGCTTTAGTTGTAATCTGACTGCGTGTACTATCTTTGCTTCAAATTTATTGTGACATGGCTATAAATTAAAACATATATTTACCCGAACAGGGATGATGTGGCTGGGGCAGTGCACAACAGGCAGCCCTGAGTCCATCAGCATCTGTCTGAGCAGCTTGACGTTGCGCTGGTGTTTACGCCTCAGTGTGCGTCCCTCTTCCCCTTTAAGAACCTGGATCGATTGCCTGGCTCCGGCTAACAGCATTGGTGGCAGAGAGGTGGTGAAGATAAAACCAGCAGCGTAGGAACGCACCATGTCCACCAGAGCAGAGGTACTCGCGATGTAGCCGCCCACACAGCCAAAGGCCTTTCCTGGAAAAACAGATGACACGGACAGCTTTTCTTTAATTCTGGTTGCTGCTACAGCTTCAGATACATCATTTTATTCACTCAAAATAAGACTGTCCTACTATAAAGCACTCAGCAGTCTATACAGAACCCTCCCACTGCAATATCACAAACTAGATCTTCCTGAAATGGCAGCCTACCAGGAGCTGCAAAGCTTTCAGTTAGAAATAATTGTCCCCTCAGCTTGACAGCGACACACAGAGTAATTCAATAAGAGCGCAACAAGAGCCCACAGTCTCCTAGCAACAACAGAGCTGCTCCAGCTTCTTTAAGCCCTCTAGCATATTGGGTGACACAGCTGAGGCCTGATCTTTAGTGCAACACCAACAGAGAGAGCTCGAGGAGTCCAGCTAACTGGAAGTGGTTGTTTTGATTCACAAAGATATATATACATGAAAAACACAGCGAACTGTAACTGAACTGTAAACATTAATATACTGATACCACTTGCCATGTATTTGACCTGTAGATAGCACAAAAACATTTTGAGATGGCTTAAATGTTCAAATGCTCTGTAAAACATCACCAGTAATTTGTTTTAGTAAAGATTACATACTGACCTAGTGTCCCTGAGATGATATCCATCTTGTGCATGATGCCATCTCTGTCTCCAATACCCCCTCCTCTGGCGCCATACAGGCCCACAGCATGGACCTCGTCTACGAAGGTGATGGCACCAAACTCATGGGCCACATCGCACATCTCCTCGAGTGGACACACAGCACCTGTGTTGCGGAAAGACAAGGGCACAAAAGGTCATTATAGCTGGGCCCTGCAGTATTTTTCTATACAACTCCTGAAATAAAATTGATCAAATTATGATTTATATGACAGTAATAATAACAGCTGGAATGGATGCTGTAAGCTGGCCATTAAAATAAAAAAAATAACTGTTCAGTTCCAATACCTTACTGCCAAACATTGTGATGACAACAGTTAGTAATAAGTAGGTTTCACTTTTTAAAAACTGAAGAGCATCATCCTAAACTCACCATCCATGGAGTGAACGGTCTCAAAGGCCACGATCTTCGGTTTTGTGGGGTCTCCCTTCTGCAACTGCTCTCTCAGGTGGGCCACGTCATTGTGGCGAAAAATGAATTTCTTAGCACCACTGTTCCTGATACCCTGAATCATTGAGGCGTGGTTGCCCGCATCAGAGTAGATTTCACAACCTAAAATAGTTAGAGAAGAGCGAGTAGGTGAGTATGAGCAAAGTTGAAAATTGGGTTGGATTTCATAATAAATGCACAGAATAGTTTTGTGCACCTGGCAGCATCTTAGCGAGGGTGAAGAGGGTTGAGTCATTGGCGACAAAGCAGGAGGTGAAAAGTAGTGCAGCATCCTTCTTGTGAAGGTCAGCCAGTTCATGTTCCAACTCCACATGGAATTTACTGGTCCCAGAGATGTTCCTGGTGCCTCCTGCCCCTGAGCCATGTTTTTGTAAAGTTTCCCTGGGAAGAGACAACAGCAAACAACAAAGTTTTATTATTTTTTAAAATGTTTTGTGGTTTTCTGAAATTTCACAGTCTAAATGTTGCAAATATGTAAGCTTAAGGATGAGTAACACTTCAGTATATCGGGGGAAAAAAAGGCAAACAGATTGCAGAGTAGTAAAATGACACTTGGGTATAAGGTGTGCTGCTGCCCAGGAATTATAAGATCTGGGCAAGCTCAAACACGCTGAAAGGAAAATAAGAAAAACACCCTCACTAGGACTCATGAGGTTTAGGTGTAACCTATGGCTAACTAACACAAACAATGAACTGGTTCAACCGTAGGTGTCAGGTTGTAGTAAATTATTATGTGTTGTGTCTAATTTCTTGGTTTCTTTCTTTCTGAACTCTGCTCTTGCAGTGAGACAAAAGGTGAAGTGCAATCAAGGAAAGTGGACAGAAAAGGAAAATATTCGTCTCAGTACATTTAAACACACCTTGACCCATGAGACTGGAAGAGTTATCCTTTTTTGGCTAAAGATAAAAACAATTCCCCCATTACTCACATGATGGATTGGACAACGCGAGGGTGTCGACTCATGCCTAGGTAGTCATTGCTGCACCAAACAGACACCTCCCTCTTTTCTTCTAGAGAGCCTGTAAAGTCGTCAGCCATTGGGAACTCGATGGCCCGACGATTCACGGTCTTAAACACACGATATGTGTGATCGCTCTTCTTCTCTTCTATCTTCTTCTCAAAAAAGTCATCATAATGGAAGCGGGACACTGTGACATAAGAGGAAGACAAAACTTGCTTAATGTGGCTCAGTGTTGCTGCAGTACTGCGGTGGATGGAGCAATCTCAACATGCTGGAAGGCTTATTCAAAAACACCAAAACTGACAATGGACGGTGTGGTAGCTCAGCAAGCTTGCAAACTCGTTTAACTTTGTCATCTGAAAGTCTTATCAAAAACACCTTAAAAAGAACTTACTCTTGCCTAGCATGTTGTCCTGCAGCAAGTGAGTCACCCTCTTTGGTCGCTGTTTCAGGAGGGTCTTCATTAGATTAGTTTGCTCTCCTCCCTTATTTGCACTGGCCAAGGATGGCTGCTTCAGGTGGACAGGTGCAACTTCTGAAAAAGGTCATGAGAGGACAACAACAAAATTAGTAGCAAACTCCATACAAAACAAGTGGCAAAAACTTCAATTTCTAAAGAAATTGTACCTTTCTGGACAGTGCGGACTTCCTGCACATCCTCCTGGAACTCCATGCCAACCTGACGAACTACACTGTTCTTCTGGCCCATCTCAGCAGCCAAGAAAGGGCATTTGGAGGCCACTACCTGGCCTGGGGACGGCATAGGGTGGCCAGCTGGCAGTTTGGACTCCCCTTCCTGTTTTGGGGCTACAAGTGTACAAAAGAAGATGTAGACTTTAGATATATCTAAACTCATAACCAAACACCAATATCATACATAGCAGTAATTCAGTCAGTCACTGTATTAATGCAGATATTTCACTTAATATAATGTGCTACAATGTTAAACAGAATATTCTGTGCAAGAAGAATGCACAAATTCTTTTTTCATCACCCTCACCATCACTGGCAGTCATGGTGTTCTCAGTCGTCTGGTGAGAAGACGAGGAGCAGAGTGCCCGTGCCATTGAAGGGGCCATGGGTTTTGCAGCCAGCTCCATCATGATAGGGCATCGCTGGGCGTACACTACCAGAGATTTTTTGGTTTGTTGGAAGAAGGCCTGAGGCACACGAGCCAGGAACGGACAGCGACGCACTATCACATCCATAGTCAGCAATGGTGGTGATGATTGTCCAAGTGTCTAAAGGGCAGAGAGAAAAATTAACTCAAACTTGTGCACATAATTCTTTCGCTGTGACTTAAAAAAAACTATTTGTAGGTTGTTGGTTCGAAGGCACAAAAAAACCCAACTCTTTAAACAAACAAAATCTAGGTTTATGGCAATAAATACAGGTGATACGAGTTCACTCAGTTGTTGATATACCACACAAAATGACACTGACAGCTCTGGAAAATTCCCAAAATGAGGATTGACCTTGTGAGAATTTCTGTCAAACTATTATTTTCAAGGAAGAAAGTCTCAAATTTCTATCTCTTTTATGTCAAACATCCTTGTTAGAGCATTTTACGAGCGCAGCTTTGTGGATTTTAATGTTTAAAGTTTGTATACCACGTCCTTTTCAAAGGAAACCACTAAGTTATACGCATTTATGTGACTAGATTGACCGCTGGACTCTAAAAAAAAAAAATGCTTGATCATAACATTGTAATAAACAAACAAAGTCTAGTTGCGTAAAACTAGAAATTACATCACCTTTGCCTGCTCCTGTCTACCCTCCAGCTGATGCCAGATCCAAGCATTCCTCGACAGAGTACTCACTTCAAAAACTTTCCACCTTTCGAAACTTCAGCAAAAGGCACAAGTGCCAGTGAAAACGCATAGACCTCATTTTAACAAATTTGACCTAAAAGTAACAGTTAGTTCACGATCTAAATAGCATACTTTTACCATTACAGTGATTATATTTCGTGTTTTTTTCCCCCCCTAAGTCTATCCATGAGTGGAAGCGCACCGTGCCGCGAACGGCTTTAAACTAAAAAAAACAAAAACTGTATCCAGTCATATTTGGCAATAGAGTAAAAAAACAACAACAAAAAAATCTTATAATATCGAATGGTTTTTTGTTAATGTCACAAAAGCCTGTAGCTTCTGTTAGAAAAGCTGCAACAATTGTACCCACATTTACTGGTTCGCTATAGACGGCGTTAGCTATGTGTCAACTCGCAGAGCACTCAGAGGTTATAACACAGTAAGGGACCAAGAGTCACGACTCGTTTGCCCCCGATTTTAATAGCTTAACTGTCAACATAAAGGCGTTTTGGTAAACGGTAATGTAAGACAGGCTCCGTTTTTTTTTTTTTTTTGAGGGTAGTCAGGCCACTTGTGATCCCTACCGGTTGACCGAGCTTAGCAGCGCTGCTAACATTAGCTAAGAAGCTACAACCAGAAGTGCGGATGATGATCTTGGTAAGGACGTTAAATAAGACACTTACCACCTAAAACTTCACTCCCGACAGCCAAATCGTCCCCGTGGGTTGTGTAGTATGCAGGATAAAAGCAGCGAA